CAATGGAATATTACTCGATTGTGAAAAGAAGGAAATCTCACCCTTTTGAGAGCATGGATGGACCTGGAGAACATTATGCTAAGTGAAATAAGCCAGTTAGAGAAAGACAAGTACCATATGACTTCACTCATATGTGGAATTTAATGAACAAAATGAACTAACAAGCAAATTAAAAAACTAGGAATAAATTAATAAATTTAACCAAAGAGATGAAAGACTTACACTTGAAAAATTACAATACTAAAGGAAGAAGATACAAATAGGAAGCATATTCTATGCTAAAGGATAGAAAGAATTAACATCATTAATATGTCCATACTACCCAAAGCAATCTATACATTCAACATAATTCTCATCAAAATAACAATGGCATATTTCACAGAACTAGTATAAATAATCCAAATATTTATACAAAACCATAAAATACCCTGAATAGCCACATCAATCTTGTGAAAGAAGAACAAATTTGGAGGTATTACACTACCTGATATCAAATCATACCATAAGGTTATATAATCAAAACAGCATGGTACTGGCCTTAAAAAAAAACACATAAATCAGTGGAACAGAATACACAAATACCCTGTGATCTTACTTATTTATGGAATATAATGAACAAAATAAGCAGATGAACAAAATAGACCCAAAGACATAGAAAGGAGTACAGTTCATATTGACGGACCTCAGAGGAGGCGTGCGGGGGGATGGATGAGATAAACCAAAGAACTTATATGCATGAATGTGTAACCAATGTACATAGACAACAATGCTGGGGGGGTGGGCAGAATGGGAAGGAGGGTGTCTGGGGGGAAAAAGGAGAAACAACTGTAACAAAAATAAATAATAAAAATTGAAAAAAATAAACCAAAAAAAAAATGGGCAGAGGACCTAAACAGGTGCCTCTCCCAACAGGACATAGCAACAGATATAGGAAAAGATGTTCAACTTCACTAGCTATTAGAAAAATGTAAATCAAAACCACTGTGAGATACTACCTCACACCTGTGAGGATGACTATTATCAACAAGACAGGTAATAACAAGTGCTGTAGAGGTTGTGTGGAAAAGGGAACCCTCATTCACTGCTGGTGGGAATGTAGTCTGGTGTAGCCACTATGAAAAACAGTCTGGTGGATGCTCTAAAAATTAAGAATAGAATTACCATATGACCCAGCAATCCCTCTCCTGGGTATCTACCCGAAAAATTCAAAAACATATATTTGGAAAGATGGATGCACCCTTATGTTCACTACAGCATTATTCACGGTGGCCACCACATGGAGACAACCAAAGTGTCCTTCAATAGAGGATTGGATAAAGAAGATGTGGTACATATATACAATGGAATGCTACTCAGCCACAAGAAAATATCAAATATCGCGATTTGCAACAACCTTGAGAATATTATGCTAAATTAAATAAGTCAATCAGAAAAGGCTAAGAACCACATGACTTCACTCCTATGTGCAATATATAACTGAAACTCATGGACACAGACTACCGTGTTGTGTTTACCAGAGGGAAGGGGGTGGTGAGGGTGGTGGAGGTTGGAGGATGGTTTGATTTTGGGTGGTGAGCACAACTGCAATACACATATTTTATATCATAGAAAGGTACACTTGAAACCTACATGATTCTATAAACCAATGTCACCCCATACATTTAATTTTAAGAAATGAACAAACAAAATTTAAACATAGACATATAGAGACCATACTGTTGGTTGCCAGTGAGGGGAGCGGGGTTGGGTGACTGGGTGAAAAATGTTAAGGGACTCTTAAGAACAGGACAAGATAGGGATGCCCACTTTTGCCACTCTTATTTAACATAGTACAGGAAGTCTTAGCCACAGCAATTAGACAGGAAGAAAAAAATAAAAGGGATCCAAATTGGAAAGGAGGCAGTGAAACTACCATTATTTGCAGATGACATGATATTGTGCATAGAAAACCCTAAAGACTCCATCAAAATTCTACTAGATTTAATAAATGAATTTGGAAAGGCAGCAGGATACAAAATTAACATCACAAAATTGACGGCATTCCTTCTCTGAACTGCAGGCCGGTGCTCTAACCACTGAACAAACCGGTCAGGGCTCGACGGCATTCCTATACACCAGTAATGAACTCACAGAAAGAGAAACTAAGAAAACAACTCCATTTACTATTGCAGTAAAAAAAAAATTGAGATACCTAAGAATAAACTTAACCAAAGAAGTAAAGGACCTATTTACAGAAAACTACAAGACATTGAAAAAAACAAATAGAGCCCTGGCCGGTTTGGCTCAGCGGTTAGAGCGTCGGCCTGCGGTCCGGAGAGACCCGGGTTCGGTTCCCGCTAAGGGCACGTACTTCGGTTGTAGTTTGTCCCCGGCCCTGGTTGGTTGTGCGGGTGGCAGCCACTCGATGTGTCCCTTCACATCGATGTTTCTCTCTCTCTCTCCCTCCCACTCTATCTGTACAAAAAATGGAAAAATATCCTCGGGTGAGGATAGGAAAAAAAAAAAGAAAAAACAAATAGAGGTAGATATAAAAAAAAGTGGAAGCATATACCTTGTTAATAAATTAGAATAATTAACATCATTAAAATGTCCATTCTACCCAAAGAAATCTGTAGAGTCAATGCAATCCCCATTAAAACACCAACGACATATTTCACAGAACTAGAACTAATACTTCAAAAGTTCATATGGAACCAAAAAAGACTCTAAATAGCCACAGCATCTCAAAATAGAATGCTTGTGAACTGGAAACAGCTGTACAAACAACCTCATAGTTATTTCCTAGTATTAGGGGAAATCCCCTAGGGACATACTAAGAAGCTATTTTTGAGGTTTTTCTCTCATCTCAGCAAGGACCAACCAGTACTCTAGACAACAAGGGAAACTGACTTAAACATTTGAATTTGGGGCTTAACGATTTAACCTAGCTTCATCACTCACACGTTAAAAAAACACATGCTGGCCACAGCAATCTTGAAAAAAAGGAACAAAGTAGGAGGGATCACAATACCAGATATCAGGTTATACTACAAAGCCACTGTAATCAAAACAGCCTGGTACTGGCACAAGAATAGGCATGTAGATCAATGGAACAGAACAGAGAACCCAGAAATTGATCCAAGACATTATGCTCAACTAATATTTGACAAAGCTGGTAAGAGCATACAATGGAGTAAAGACAGCCTTTTTAATAAATGGTGTTGGGAAAATTGCACAGCTACATACAAAAACTGCAGCTGGACCACCAACTTACACCATACACAAGAATAAACTCAAAATGGATAAAAGACTTAAATGTGACTAGTGAGTCCATAAAAATCCTAGAAGAAAAATGTAGGCAACAAAATTTCAGGCATCACACGCAGCAGAATTTTCACTGATACAACTCCTAAGGCAAGAGAAACAAAGGGGAAAAAAATGAGTAAATGGGACTATATCAAACTTAAAAGCTTCCATTCAGCAAAAGAAACTAGCATCAAAATGGAAAGGGAACTCAGTATATGGGAGAGCATAATTGCCAATGATGCATCAGATAAGGGGTTAATTTCCAAATATATAGAGTACTCATACAACTCAACAAAAGGAAGACAAAGAACACAATTAAAAAATGGGCAGAGGACCTAAATAGACACCTCTCCAAATAGGACATACAAATGGCCAAGAGACATATGAAGAAATGCTCACCATCACTAATCATCAGAGAGATGCAAGTTAAAACAACAATGAGGTATCACCTCACACCTGTCAGAATGGCCGCCATCAACAAATCATCAAACAACAAGTGTTGGCGAGGGTGTGGAGAAAAGGGGACTCTAATACACTGCTGGTGGGAATGCAGACTGGTGTAGCCACTACGGGAAACAATATAGTGTTTCCTCAAAAATTTAAAAAGTGAACTTCCATTTGACCCAGTGATTCCACTTCTAGGAATATATCCTAAGAAGCCTGAAACACCAATCAGAAAGAATACATGTACCCTTATGTTCATAGCAGCACTATTTACAATTGCAAAGATATGGAAACAGCTCAAGTGTCCATCAATAGATGAGTGGATTATAAATCTGTGGTACATATACACAGTGGAGTACTATGCAGCTGTAAGAAAGAGAGATCTCTTATCCTTTGAGACAACATGGAGGAACCTGGAGAGCATCATGCTAAGTTAGATAAGCCTATCAGAGAAAGACAAATACCACATGATCTCACTTATTTGTGGAATATAATAAACAAAATAAGCTGATGAACAAAATAGACCCAGAGACATAGAAAGGAGTAAGGTTCAGATTGACAAACCTTAGAGGAGGGAGGTGGGAGGGGTGAGATACATGTATATATGCATGTATGTGTAACCAATGTACATAGACAACAATGCTCAGGGTGGGCAATGGGATTGCAAGGAGGGTGTCTGGGGTGGGGAAGGGAAAACATCTGTAACAAAAATAAATTAATAAAAATTGCAAAAAAATGTTAAGGGATTGATAAATATAAGTTGGTAGTTACAAAGTAGTCATGGAGATGTAAATTACAGCATAGAGATTATAGTCAATAATATTTTAATAACTATACATAGTACCATGTAGGTACTGGATATATCAGGGGAATACTTTGAAACATATATGATTGTTTAACAACTATGCTATAAACCTGTAACTAATACAAAATAATATTGAATGTAAACTGTAATTTAAAAAAATCTAAAGAAAAAGGTAAGCTGGATATTAAACTATAGGACAATGCCCATAGTAAGTCATCAGTGGAGATAAAAAGCAATCAGGGACAGAAAAAAATGACAGAATAAAATGGCACAAACAGCCAAGAAACCTGTAATTATATTTTGCAAGCCTTCCTGAGTTTACATGTTACATAATCTTGATTACGGTTAAATGGCCAATGGCAGCATTCCAGTTTCCTCTTAGCACCATTTACAAGAAATATCAGCTTGCCAGAACGCCTTAAATTGTTATTGTTTTGAATTGTTAAAGAGCAGTAGCAAATCTTACATTATTTCATTGTTCATTATTCCTGAGATATCTGCCAGTTCACTGTGTTAGATCAGGAAGCTCCATTTATCAGGTAATGAAAGAGTTTCTAAACTTGGCAGAGATCATTGAACATAGTCAAACATCAGGAACCTGGAGGAATATTCAACAAATAAAATAGAAGCTCTGCTGCAGGTTTTCAACAGTCTACCCACCTTTTACCCCAGTAGTACATACAAAGGGAACTTACTGGGATTTTTTTTTTCTTCAATCCTCACCTAAGGATATTTTTTGTCTATTTATTTTGAGAGAGAGAGAAACATCGATGTGAGAGAGAGAGACATCGATTGGTTACCTCCCGCATGACCCCAACCACGGCCGGGGACTGAATGGCAACTAAGGTACGTGCCCATGACCAGAATCAAACCCTGCGACTCATTGGTCTGCAGGCTGACGATCTAACCACTGAGCCAAACCAGCCAGGGCACTTATTGGGATTTTAAAACACTGCAAATATTAAAGTAGTTGTTAAGTAACCTTACCTGGTGTCCACATTCTCAATCGTCAGAAAAAGGAAAATTTGGTTATATACTTCTGGTGCAAAATATAATTTAAGTTTCTTTGCCACTTTGAACTACATTGGATTTCTTTTCTTCATTTAGGGCAGATAATACTTTGCCAGTAGAAGTTGAGTAGTTTTGCACAAATCTACAAGAAGCAACATGTTTTATTATGTTGACTTTTCTCAAGTTTATTTATTTTGCCTGATAATTTTTCCAGGATGCCCTTATTTATATTATTATGTACCCATCAAGGCATCTGGGCCTACAGATTTAAAAACACTCGGCCAAAACTTTCCTATACTTTCTTGTAGGCAGACTCTGACATGTTACTAACATGTTCCTACTATCTTTAGACCTAGATCATTCTAATTGCTGGATTGTGCTGCTAAAGGTACCAAGATTTAATGCAACTATATTCTCTTCTCTTATCATTTACATTTTAACTCCAGTTAACCATCTTCCAGGAATGAGTCAAAAATCAAAAATGGGGAGTGGTATGCCATTCTTACAACTAAAGAAACAACTCTAAACACATGACCTACTAATGGAGGTCAGATATATCATCTTTGTATACCAGGGTAAGAGTTTTAGTCCAGAATTTCCATATGCTTTATATATTCCCTCCTCCAGTACCAAACTGGTTGTGATGTTGTCCCTAGAAGAGGTGGGGGGAACATCATTTTAGTTCTCTCCACTGTTTGCTTGTACTCCAGGTTCCCCTATATTCATTTCCTTTAGTTGAAGAGTGGTTCAGAGTGCCTGGCCAGGCTCTCTGCCTTCATTGCCCTCAGACATAGGTGTTTTCTCTATGGCAATAGGCTAAGGAGTATAGCAATCCTTTTTACTTCTCATACTAATTCAAGACAATTCTTGGACCAAAATGTGATCCCACAAAAGATTCCTACTTTCAATGAGTTCACATTCACGCTATGGTAATAAACACTACAAAATAGCACAATCTCTAGTAATTCATTTCAAAAAAATATAGATATACACAAAGATGTCATTATAATAATGTTGATTGTAGCACTGATTATAATAAAATATCTGAAAGACCCTAACTATTCAACAGTATGAAACTGTTTAAATAAATAGTGCTATATGTATAAAATAAAATAATGAAGGGGTTAAAATTCTATTGTTTTCAGCATTACTTGTAATATTAAAATATTAAAAACATTCAAATGTCCACCAATAGAATACTTGGTAATAGGAAACTAGTTACATAAATTATGATACATCCATATAATAGAGTATACAAAGCTGTGAACATGGATGAGAAAGCCCTCAAGGTGTTGCTATTAAAAAGATCCATAAGATAAATTATTAAGTGAACAAAAAAGATACACAACAGAATTTTTTAAATGATATATTTTAATTTTTTAAATGTTGTGGAGATGTAAACTTAAAATATAACTTTATATTTGCTTGCGATTGCACTATTTTAATTATACAAAGGGCCACCACCGCTACCATGAGCTGTCACAACCAGCCCCACCAAGACAACCTGAGCCCCTAGATGCAGAGACTTCCTGCTGTAACCTGGCATGCTTCACCCAGTGCCCCCCCAGAGACCAGCTCCACAGTCACCACCCACTGCCTCCAGACACATGGACCTATGGCCGTTACCCAGTGCACTTGATCTCCGGGTCCACCAGAAAACGGGGCCCACCACTATGAACAGGTACACCTGGCCCCACTGCCTTGACCCATCATGGCTCACCCCAATGCCATGACCCAGTGTGCCCAGACCTGCCACTATGACCTGAGCCTTCTGCAACACAGCACATCTCACCCAGTGCCCTGGAAGACTGGAATTGATAAAATGGGAAGACAAATAAAACAACCCCCAAATGAAAGAAAATGAGGAATCACTAGGGAAAAAACTAAATGAATGGAGGCAAGCAATTTGTCAGATAAAGAGTTCAAAGTAATAGTTATAAGGATACTCAAACAACTTAGTGAGACCTATAAGCAACTAAATGAGAACTATAAGGAACTTAGTGAGAACTATATCAGCATGAACAAAGAGGTATAAACCATGAATAACAATCAATAGGAAATGAAGAATGACATAGCTGAAATAAAGATACCCTGGAAGGAATTAAGAGTAGCTGAGGACTGAATCAGTGAATGAGAAGACAAGATAGAAAAAACACCCAATCAGAGCAGCAATTGAAAAAAAATTAAAAAGCAGGATGGTAGTTTAAGGGAGCTTTGGGACTACATAAAACATAACAACATTCACATCATAGGGGTACCAGAAAAAGAAGAAGCTGAGCAAGAGAAACTGTCTGAGGAAATAATGATAGAAAACTTCCCTATCCTGGTGAAAGAAAAAGTCACAAAGTGCAGGAAACATAGAGTCCCAATCAAGATGAACCTAAAAAGACCCACACCCAGACACATAATAATTAAAATGCAAAAGGTTAAAGACAAAGAGAGACTCTTAAAAGCAGAGAGAGAAAATCAGTTAGTTACCTACAAGGGAGCTCCCATAAGACTGCCAAATGATTTCTCAAAAGAAACTTTGCAGGCCAGAAGGGAGTGGCAAGAAAGATTCAAAGTGATGAAAAGCAACGACCTAAAACCAAGATTACTCTATCCTGCAAAGGTATCATTTAGAATTGATGGACATTCAAAGAGCTTCCCAGACAAGAAAAAGCTAAAGGAATTCATCACCACCAAACCGGTATTAGATGAAATGTTGATGGGTATTCTTGAAGGAGAAGATAACAAATATGAACAATAAAATGGCAATAAATACATGTCTATCAACAACTGAATCTACGAACAAAATAAGCAGAATGGAAAGAAACTCATACAGAGAACATTTGTTAGTGGCCAGATGGGAGGGGGGTTGGGGAATGGATGAAAAACGTGAAGAGGTTAAGAAATACAAATTGGTTGTTATAGAATAGTCATGGGATGTTAAGTACAGCAAAAGGAATACAGTCAATAATATTCTAATAACTAGGTGTGGTGTTGAATGGGTGAGGGATTTATTGGGATGATCATTTAGTAAGTTATGTAATGTATGGTCAATAAGGTGTATACCTAAAACTAATACAATGATGTATGTCAACTGTAATTGAAATTTAAAAATGACTTAAAAATACAATTTGATAAGTTTGTAACCCATAGTACAAAGATTGGTTTGGCATGTCACAATGTTAAGATTTCACTCACTGCCACCTGGCCACAGTGGCTCAGTTAGTTGAGCATCATCCTGTGCACTGAAAGGTTGCCAGTTCAAATTCTGGTCAGGGTACATACCTGAGTTGCAGGTTTGATCCCAGTCAGAGCTCATAATGGAGGGCAGCCAATTGATATTTCTCTCCCACATTAATCTTTCTCTCTTTCTCTGTGCCTTTCTCCTCTCTCTCTCTCTCTCTCTCTCTCTCTCTCGCTCTCTCTCCCTCCCTTCATCTCTCTAAGCACGTCCTTGGGTGAGGGTTTAAAAAAATATATTTTACTCACTTATTAAAAGTTATTACTGCCTTTTAATAACTTTTGGTTGGGAGCACAGATGTGTAAAATTAAAACATAGATGCAGAAATAGCAACCAAATTGGAGAGGAGGGTTTAAAAACATTCCTAGAATGGTACGTGATTAAACATATGCCGGGGGGTGGGAACCACAATAATAAGTCCACAGGCTGAAACAGGCAAAGAACCATTGGCCTAATGAGAAGGAACTGTACTGGGATTCAGGCCACACAGGGTGAAATCAGCTACTGTCAAGTCAAACAATGACGCAATCATCAAAACAGTAATGGGTAGAGGAGAAATAGTAACTGACACCACAGAAATACAAAGGATAGTTAACAAATATTATGAACAATTATACAGCAAAAATTCGACAATCTAAGCAAAATGGACAAATTTCTAGAAACACATAGTCACCCAAAACTGAACTGGGAAGAGATAGAAAACTTGAACACACCACTAACAACAAAAGAAATTGAAGATGTAATCAAGACTCTCCCAGCAAACAAAAGCCCAGGCCCGGACTGTTTCACGGGAGAATTTTAGCAAACATTCAAAGAAGAACTAATACCCATTCTCCTCAAACTATTTCAAAAAATTCACGAAGAAGGAAGACTTTCAAACTCATTTTATGAGGCCAGCATAATTCTAATTCCAAAACCAGAAAAAGACACTACAAAGAAAGGATACTACAGGCCAATGTCCCTGATGAGCATAGATGGCAAAATCCTGAACAAAATACTAACAAATCAAATCCAGGAATACACCAAAAAAATTATTTACCATGACCAAGTGGGATTCATCCCAGGGATGCAAGGCTAGTACAATATTCACATATCAATAAATGTGATACACCACATAAACAAAATGAAAGATAAAAATCATATGATCATATCAATAGATGCTTAAAAAGTCTTCGACAAAATCCAGCACCCATTTCTGATAAAAACGCTGAGCAATCTGGGAATAGAGGGATCATATCTTGACATAATAAAGGCCATGTATGAAAGACCTACAGCCAACATCATACTCAATGGGCAAAAACTAAAAGCATTTTCCTTAAGAACAGGAACAAGACAAGGATGCCCACTTTCACCACTCTTATTTAATATAGTTCTGGAAGTCTTAGCCACAGCAATCAGACAGAAAGAAAAAATAAAAGGGATCCAAATTAGAACGGAGGAAGTTAAATTGTCATTATTTGCAGATGACAAGTTATTGGACATAGAAAACCCCAAAGACTCCATCAAAAATTTACTACACTTAATAAATGAATTTGGCAAAGCAGCAGGATACAAAATTAATGTCAAGAAATTGATGGCATTCTTATACACCAATGATGAAGTGACAGAAAGAGAAACTAAAAAAATAATCCCATTTACCATCGCAGCAAAAAAATTAAGATACCTAGGAATAAATTTAACCAAAGAAATAAAGGACCTATTCGCAGTTAACTACAGGTCATTGAAAAAATAAATAGAGGAAGATATAAAAAAGTGGAAGCACATACCTTGTTCATGGATTGGAAGAATTAACATCATTAAAATGTCCATACTACCCAAAGCAATCTATAGATTCAATGCAATCCCCATCAATATACAAATGACATACTTCACAGAACTAGATCAAATACTCCAAAAGTTCATATGGAACCAAAAAAGACCTCGAATGTCACAGCAATCTTGAAAAAGAAGGACAAAGTTGGAGGGACCACTTTACCAGGTTTCAGGTTATATTACAAAGCCACTATAATCAAAACAGCCTGGTACTGGCACAAGAACAGGCATATAGACCACTGGAACAGAAGAGAGAACCCAAAAATGGACCCAAGGCAATATGCTCAATTAATATTTGACAAAGGTGGCAAGAGCATACAGTGGAGTAAAGACAGCCTCTTTAATAAATGGTGCTGGGAAAATTGGACAGCTATATGCAAAAAAAAATGAAACTAGACTATCAATTTACACCATACACAAGAATAAACTCAAAATGGATAAAAGACTTAAATGTGTCTCGTGAATCCATAAAAATCCCAGAAGAAAATGTAAGCAACAAAATTTCAGACATCATATGCAGCAGAATTTTCACTGATACATCACCTAAGGCAACAGAAACAATAGAGACAATGAATACATGGGACTACATCAAACTCAAAAACTTCTGCACAGCAAAAGAAACAACCACCAAAATGGAAAGGCAACCCACTGTATGGGAGAGGATAACTGCCAATGATACATGAGATAAGGAGTTAATTTCCAATATATAGAGAGTGCTCATACAGCTCAACAAAAGGAAGACAAAGAACCCAATTAAAAAATGGGCAGAGGAGTTGAATAGACACCTCTCCAAACAGGACATACAAATGGCTAAGAGA